AAGTAACTGAAAATACAGAACCTTCCCTGGGAGGTCTCCTCACCACGTACAGGAATCCACGTCGAGGGGTATATAATATATATAGACACCCACTAGTGCAGTGGTTTCCAAATGTTTTTCCCACTTACCTTGATTTGTACAACACCCCTGTTTTTCTTAGGTTTTTTTTTTTTTATGTTCTTAACTCTTGCAACACCCCTACCAACTTTCCATGACACACTAGTGTGTTACAACACAGAGTTTGGAAACCACTGCACTAGTTGGTTAGCATTACTATCAAAGCAATGTCATCTCATGATTAGGTAAACAATTAAGAAAAGGTTTTTTATATTTTTTATATTATATAAATACCTTCTTGTGGCTAGCAGTCCTCTCATGCTTCTTAAACTCCATGGGACTGTTAAATGTCATTCTGCAGAGCCTACATTTTGGATATTTCTGGTCACGGTTTTTCTGTGTGGAACAGTAAATTTCAATGTACATTGAGCTTTGTAATAAATAAAGATCATAATGGGTTTTAAACAAAAAACAAAACTTTACACATAATCATACTTAACTCTTTTCACCAAAGAAAGGTTCAAGAAGATTTGTAAACTAGTTGTACGATGCAGTACCATTTTTTTTCTAATTTGTACAGTATTTGAAAAATATTACAATGCAGTTTACACTAAAGAACATACAACCCTGTTGAATTCCAACTAACTGCATCATCCCTAGGTATTGGCAAAGCCCTTGTTTGTTGTGAAGCACAAAGAATCTACGTCTACTGCAAGATCAAACTAACAGAAATTTGGTTGCATATTATATTAGCTTAAATAAAAATACTAGATAATAAATTAACTGTGTAACATTTACAGCAAAGACAAGTTTTTAATACTGTTTCAGTTGAATCCAATTGTTAAAATTGTTCTAGTCTTCTTTGTTATATGGTAAATATTTCACTTTAGTTGTATAACTACTCATTATTTGTAAATAATGCATTATAATTAACATAGCAAAGTTTTACAATTGTAGCTTCATCTTAGTAAAATATAAACATTTTAGTCAAGCTAACTTTTACTAGAATATTTCCTTATATTAAACTAGGTTCAGATATAACAATTTTCATATCAATGCAGAAAAAAAAAAAGTGGTTTGATCTTGCAGACTTCCTTTTACAAAGCATATAAAACATTGCCTTTGTAGAAAATACTGAGAGTTGAAAAATACATTATCCAGACTCAATGATTCAGCATGCTAAAGGAGGCATTAACTCTTTCAGCACAGGCTCGATCCCTGGGACCGACCTTGTAACTATTTTGTGCTTGTTATAGTTTTCATGCTACAACTTTTAAATTAATAAGCGAATGTTAGCAAAATATGGTAGATTATCAGTAAACATTACAGTGCTTTCATACGCAAAATATCAATTTTTTTTTTTTATTAAGTCTTAAGGTTTATAAAGCAATGTTTTTCTCATGTCTTTTTTTTTCTTTTAGCATGTTGCCTATCTATCATGCAAAGTAATAGTCATTTTAAGACTAAAAATACTTTTATACACCAGAAAATTTTGAAATTTCACATGCAAAATCTTTATAACGTCTGAATAGTTATCAAACATTTCTTAAGGAAAAAACTTTATATTTTATCTGTTACTTTCAGTAATTAATCTCTGTACGGGTTTGTAGATTTGACTGATCTTGCAACCACCATAAACAATTTGGAAATAAATATAAATTATGCCTCTTTCATTCCAGAATAAACACAAAAACAATGTTTAGACTAAATAGATTAAATCTCATAACATAATACATTTATGTATATTTATTATTATTTTTTATTATATTGACCTTTCAGCCGTGCCTGCCTAACAATTGAGAAGTAACAATGATGCAGCTTACGTGCACTCGTGTTACTGTATCAAATAACATACAACTAACCTTTGGTCTGTACAAAGTAACTTGTCTTGGCTGTGTTTTAGTAGACTAGTATTTAGTCAAATTTCAATTATTATACATTATATATGTATATATAGATTATTGCTATTTTGAAATAAGTTCTTAAAATTATTTTGCTTAAAACACAGAACAGTAACCAAAGAAAAGGAAACAATTATCTCTTCTAGTTATGACTTTTGTACTCGGTTGCTGCTTGACGTTGGCTGCTAAGCCTTTAAAAAGTTTGCACGTGGAGGATATGAAACAATTTTTTTTAAGGTTTTATATATACTTTTGAATAACTAAAAAATCAGAAATTACTACATCAATACCCGTACAGAGATTAATTACTGAAAATAACAGATCAAATATAAAGTTTTTCTCAAGAAATGCTTGATAACTATCTGAACATTATAAAGATTTCGCATGTGAAATTTGAAAATTTTCTGATGCATAGAAATATTTTTAATCTTAAAATGAAAATTACTTTGCATGATAGATAGATAAGATGTGAAAAGAAAAAAAAAAGGCATGAGAGAAACATTGCTTTACAAACCTTTTGCATATGAAAGCATTGTAATGTTTACTGATAAACTGCCAAATTTCGTTAACATTCACTTAATAATTTAAAAGTTATTGCATGAAAACTACAACAAGCACAAAATGGTTATGAGGTCAGTCCCAGGGACCGAGTCTGGGTTGAATGAGGTAATGAAAGTGTGACACATGTAGTTATGAAATTCTATTATACACAGTTCAAAACCTTTAATATATGGAATACATATCCATTATGCAGGACAAATTTTTTTAAACCAAAATTAGCCCTAAAAACAAAGTTTTATAACACAACATACCCTATGTTCCTTAGTTCTTCGATGTCCAAGGAAACTGCCACTGTACTCACACTCGCATACGGTGCAGTAGAAAACATTTCGCTCTGGCATTCTTTGCCTATGAGTAGTATGTTCAACAACTATTAGTAACACCTTTAACACAACCTATACTTCTTTGAAATTCCACTGAAACGTAGAATTTTACTCAAAACACTTAATGTACAAGTCCAACATGTTGGTTTCATTTATTAAAAACTAAGAAAGGGAGGACTAATTTTAAACTTAACGGTGTAAAAAAGTCCAAAGGCATCAAAAATCATTACAATTGTGAAATTATTTTGCAATGAAAATAACCTTGCACACCTTATATAAAAATGTATTATCAATTAAATAAAGTTTACACAATGGTGTCCCTCATTTGATTTCTATAGATAAAACACCAACTGGTAAATTCGACAGTTTGAAGAGAAAGGGGTTTTTCTTATGAGAATTAAGTTATTTTCTCTGAACATGAAGACAAAACATACTCTATGTAACATGACTATTTTTCTTGCTTTTACCTTAGAAACAACTATTTCTTTCCATAACTCGAATTAACATATTTAGAGAGACTAAGGTCATCCACAGAAAAATACATTACAATATGACATCTTTTTTCTTATTGCCAAAGTTTTCTTCATTAATATCTGAATATTTTAGTTAGGTATTAAAATGATATCTATATTAAAAACATGAGAGTTTCTAATATAATCCAACATCCAAAAATGTAGAAAATATAAATTAACACCAGTACCATTGAAACAGTCTTTTGAGTCATTCCCACAATGAATGGAAAAGCCTTTAAGCATTTAACTCCTGAACTGGCTTTTTCTTTTTAAAGAAGAACCATGAATTATTCGTGGAGTTTATTACTTTAAATTTCTTTATTTAAATTACACAACAGCTTACTTCACAGCTTAAAATTTCAGTCTCTGGCTAATCTCTAAAGACATTTCCCCATTATAATGATCACTGTTTGCTGAATTGACAAAACTTTGTTTACTGCTTTATCTTATAACAGATTTTTGTTAATCAGTAATTTCTATATTTGGCACATACTCATTATTTGCTAATGTTTTAAACTTACTCTCACAAGTGTTTGAATAATATTACAATACAATTTGCATGATACAGTATGCAACCTGTTAAGTTCCAACTACTTGTATCATTATGAGGTATTGGCACATCAAACTAAAAAAAAAAAAAAAGGATATATAGTTCAAAAATGATAGAGAATTCTAACTTTGTCCCTAATAATACTTTTCCATAACAAAAAATGAGCAATATAGCCATACAAATAGTTTTTATATATTTACTAATAGTCTTTATATAAATATATAACAACTATATAAAAAACTGCAACAACTGAAAAAAAATTAATTGCTCCGTGTCTTGGAAATTTGGTGTTGATCTATATAAAACATTTTATAAGAAATGGGAAGAGAAGTTAAAATATAATAAAAAAGAACTTCAATAAACTTACTATAGATGGCAGTACAATTCTTATAGGAAACTATTTTTAAAGAAAATAATAAATTGTGGGTAAAACAAGAGTAGAATTACCCATGAATATTAAACAAACAAAAAAACAATGATTGTTAAGTTATGTTGGTAGTTCAAAGAGACTTGAAGCTCATTTGTCAAATGGAAATTTTATAAATTAAATATTTTTGTTCTTTCACAGGTACAAGTATGTCCACAAATGTACATAGTTGAAAAGCATAATATACAATTCAATATCTGTAAGATTTAAGATTTATTTAAACTGAAGCTTTTGTAAACTGATAATCTTTTGCAAAACGAAAAAGTACACATTATTTTTCACAAACCCTAATACACCAGTTTTTTAGCTTGTTTAATAAACTTTGTACATTATATATAAAATATTTCAAAAATATTATACAAGACATGAGCTTCTTGCAATATATAATTAAAAAAGTAATACTAACCACAGAAAGATTACTTTGATTAAAAAACATTTTAGTCAACTCAAATTTAAAAGTGAATTGTAATACCAATTGGAAACAATTACTCTAACTGGACAAAAATCAAAATTCAACAAAAAGTAACTCTAATACTAATTTGGCTTTTCCTTAACCCCAAAATTATCAATGGGCTCCTTCTCTATCAAATTTTTTAACATATTTTTTCTCAGTTTTTTATGCATCAAATAGATTGAGAGTTAGTTGGTTACAGGTTTGACTGTATTACAGATAACGGCTAAATAAAAAACACTTATACTTCATTAGTTTAGCTTGCAACTTCTTACAACACACTGTACCAGTGCTGATTAGGATGACAAGTCTTCAAACAATTACCCTTGTTTTAGAGATGCTAATTGTGTAGGAATACAAACTAAGAAGATTAGATGAATTTGACAACAAAGGGCCAGTTTTAAGCTTTACTGTGTGCTGTAAAGATATAATACAATCCAAGGCAAGGCCATATTTTATTGCATTTTCAATTCACAAAAATCTAAGAGCTTTTAGGAGCCTTCAGATGTTCATAAGAATCATTACCGTCAAATAAAATCTCAGAGAAGATTCGTGCTTTGTTTCAGACAGGTTTGGGTTTTGTCTGATTTTATAAGGACTGAAACAGAATAATATATTTTAAACTTTCTGAATTTGCTTATACACTACACTGGAAAGTTAACCCCAAAATTATGGTTCATATAGTTTCTTTGTTTTAGTTTTACTCACATTTTTCTAAACTACTTATACACCAAATTGCTTTAGAGTTGCTTGAGAGTAGCAATTACAGAGCACCTAGTAACACAAAAAATAGCATCAATGTCACAATTAGTCATACTAATTACTGATAATGTTTCCTATGTATGCCATACACAAAATGAATGATTTTACTTAAAATCTTTGTCAGTTCTTTACACAAATTATTAAACACGTAAAAACATGAAACTGTTCACATGATGCAATATGCAGTCTCCCTATCATCAATAGTGAATGCTAAATAAACAAGTAATTTGAGGATTAATAAACTGAAGAGAATTAACAATAGCAAAAAATCATACCATTTTTATGTTATTTCAACCAACAAAATAATTTAGTGTTCATATTAACCCAATATATCACATTTAATAACAAGCACAATAAACAATAAATTACCTTCTGTTTACAACCAAATAATGTGTAAAACAGTATTCTATAATAAATATAAACATTACTGGAGAGCACAAAAATGCACAATGTTCTGAAAGACATCAACAAAAGCCAATCCTTGTCAAATAAAGTTTGTTAAGGGTTGTATAATCAAACTCAACCATAGTAAATATTTATTTAGCTTCAAGTCAAGCTTAATTTACGAAACAGCTCAGAGGTATATTTACATTGGAAGGAAAACAATTCAATTATAAATAGCAAAATTAACAAATTAGGTCTAATCATCAAAAAACATCATAATTTTTTGTCTATAATCTTTTAAGAAAAACATGAAATTCATATTATTCATAACAATAAATTTTTAACATGTCAAAAAGCAGTATTTTTAATTAATAAAAACTATCATCAAACATTATAATTTAAATTTTGTACTGAATTGGTCACATTCTATTACTATTAAGTCAAAAGAAGTTAAGATTTAGTTGACATTTATTTCAAATTAATTCAAGATTACCGAGAGGTTTTATTAGTTGAATTGGTATTGTTAAATGATGCTAATGAAAAATTAGATGTAACCTTTGAACAAATTTCTCACAAAGAATTTAACAGTTATTCTTTTTTATATACATGACACCTCTATTATCATTGTTTTAATTTTTTTTAAATGGTGTAAAATTGTACGATTTAAGCAAGCAAAATCAAATTCTCACCCTTTAGCCAATGGAGAGTCCGAAGTACTAACAAAAACCTTTGCTCAAACATGAAATGTGACCAATGTTACTTTTTGAATAAAAGATTGAGTCTTAATTCTAAAAGTTTTACTTTTATTCACTGTATCTTATACCTGGTTTTGAAGCATTTTCCCCAAGTTAGTTATCATATAACCAAACAACAAGCCATTAAGAGTTAACTAACACAAATGTAGCACAGTTGGGAATAATGTCATGTCCATCCAAAAGGTAAAATTGCATCAGCAGAATTATAGAACATTACATGATGACTTAAGTAAAAAACAAAAATTATACCAAGTAAGAATTTTCCTAAAGTTAGTACACAAAGCCATGCAAAGAATCAATATTTTGCTAGTTGAATATAAAGTGATCATGATCTGAACTCCTTGAATAATCATAATTCAACATTCACTAAGCCAGGTTTAAGGCATATTGATTAAAAGACCACTCGTTCCTTTGCTGAAAAAAGTGGAGGGATATGGTAAAAACATTTCATAAGATGTAGAAAAGAGCTTTTACATCTTTTTTCTCCTCAGTTTTTTAAAAATAAAATGTTACACACACACACACACATACATATATATATATATATATGTGTGTGTGTTTGTGTGTGTGTGTGTATAAAGTATATTCAAAACTGATCTTCCTTCACATAATTCTTTACAACAATTTTAAAGATCACATCCTAAATTAGCTTCAAAACTCAATGTTCTGAGTCCCTTATGCTTTCTTGCTCAGCCTAATTATAAACATGAGCAGTATTGCTTGCATGTACAGACAGGAACATTTAGCTCTTTATTAAATTTTCTTCCTAACAGAACTTTGTCTAAAATAGTGATATTATTATTTTCACGTTCAACTTAATGGCTAAACACAAATTCGTGCATTCCATCAATTTTCATGATTAATACAACAATCTGTCACGTAGTCATTCTTTATTTCATCAACAGAAAATATAACACAATTATGCAAGTAAAGCTGCAAGATATTTAAAAGCCACATTTTCTAGTGCACAAGGTAAGTTAACATTTTCAGGTTTCAAACTGCTTCAGATGTTCTTTACATTTGTGAATTATTTGATAATTGTTAACCCTTGTGTTTGTGTGTGTATATATATGTACTGTATCTTTTCAGCAAAAAGTCATATATATATATATATATACAACTGTTTCACTAAAGCTGACTTTAAACGTTTCCCATTTCTATTTCAGTTTACTTAACTGCAAAATATCTATAATTTACATGTAATATCTGATCTTTGACCTATTTTAATTTTCTGCCTGATTAAAACCTATGAAACTTGAAACTAATTCCCAATGAGAACAATAATAGGGAACATTAAATGACAAAGTTTTTTTTTGAAGTACTGTATGGAAAACTTGGAATTTACTAGTATTAACAACATAATTACTTCATATGTAGGAATATTTCTTTGTGCACACAAAACTGGCTTTTATTAGATATTAAAAACAAGTATTTGACACACTAAAGCCATTTTTTGACACAAGTACATTATATTTTAAACATCAATGTTTAAGAGTTAGCTGTATTTTAAACTAACTTGTATTTTTTCCTACAAGCAGTGCAGCACTTTACATGACCCTAGAAATATTTCTTATAGTCTTTCATATCTACTAATATGAAACAAACCTTGTACTGCAAGTACTATAAAACTTTGTGAAGCACAGAAATTTTCAATCGCTTAGTTCAAATACTGTTAATCTTTGTTGGTGAATATAAACCTACAGGTTGGCATGAGTAGAAAAATTCGAAAAAACTGATAATGTATTGTTTACAGGCAAGGCTCCTTGAGGATGTGCAGAAATGAAAGTTAAAATTTTTTTATTATTAATCTTTGTGAATTATGAAAACAAACTAAATATTTTTGAATAAAGGATTGTTGAAACAAAAACGGGTCTGTGTTTTTAAGCTTATACTTGAAATTTTGAGTGCATGTATGCACTAAACACCTTAAATGTACATAACATTCGTGATAAGGATAACAGGTGTAGAACATTACATCCTGTTCTTCTAGTTGGGTTGTTCCAATACTTTTGGTAATATAGTGCATACATAGTTAGTGAATTAACTAAAACCCTACATATAATAAAACTGACCATTCAATAAATTTTCCTTTAGGAGATAAGTACAGAAATAAAAAGGTCATTAATAGAAGACATCTAAGGTCTGGTGTCTAAGTATATAAAGAAAGAACAAACCATTCAGTAAGCCATTTCAACAGCAAATTATATTCTTTCAAAGATAGAATGTGGCCTAATGATAATTACAGCCAAATATAATGCAAAAAAATATATTTTGTATCACACGGTCATGAAGACCATCTGACAGTTTGAGCAGCTACAGCAGTTAAGCACCTGAAACAGAACTATACGTACAAAAAAAATGTACGCACAGATTAGTATACAGTTTGAAAAACCTTCAGAACCACATAACATAATCTTATGTGAACAGCACGGTAATGATCATCAATTGATGAGCAATAACAAGAGTTAGATCATTAAGTTACACAATAACAGCACCATAGGGGTGATACAGTTTCATATTGTCTGTTTTCCTTTTTACTTGAAATACTGAACACAATGGTGTAAGCAAATCAATAGTCTGGCTTTAACATATATCTTATCACTGAAGTACAGCCTGTTTAATCCACAAAGCCACTTGGGGGCAGGCTTGATAATATCCCTTTTATCTCAAAAACTGAGATATATCAAAACATTTAGTTGATTTCAAAAACAAGACAATAATAGTACAGTTGTGTCTAGCAGGTGCTAGCAGCACCGTTTTCAGGTACCTTTGTCTCATTTCGAGCATCTGCAGATGTTCGGTGGCTTCCATACGGGCAATAGCCTCAGCCCTAGCCTGCTGCTCCATCATTATAGATCTTTCCACGCTTATTTTGTGGTTCTGGCTATTCACATGACTTTGGAATCTCTGAAAATAGAAATTGACTGATGCAGAGTCAAAAAGACAAAATAAAAAAATATGTTATAGTGGTTTGAGTGAACAAGCTGGTGGTCAGAATGCTTCTGATCTAAAAAAAAAAAAATGCCTGTGACAAGATCACTCATCTAGCAACATCACGAAACAAGGAAAACCACTAGTCAAGACTAAGTGTTACCTTTTCTTGTACTTATCTAAACATTTTTTAAGTCCTAGTTTGATAAAATTACACTGGAAAAATATTTTAAAGTCCAAGGCTAGACCATGATTAGAGTAAGAGTCAATATCAGATATCAGTCTATGTGTGCCACAAAATATGATATTTGCTAAGTTACTTTCAAAGAGCTGCACTTTATCAGATATAACCACTGCAGTAGTAATGGCAGCAAAATTAAAAACTTGTATGGATTAAATCTACTATGATAGGTAAATATGAAATAAAGGGCTTAAGCTTGATAATAAGTCTTTGCATAACAAGAAACAGCATAAGATCAAAAACAGATAACTCTAACATTAAGTCCAACAACAAAAGCTAAATCATGTGCAAGATGTTTCTAAAACACACAGACTATGCTGAAAAATCCCTCAGCAATTGGCTTCAACTACCTTCACTATGTTATCTTCAACAATAATACATAAAAGGAATTACATCATTCATTCACTTGATGTAATAGTTTAGGTAGTACTAATTATAGACAAAAGAAAGAACAGTCAAGAAATGATACACATACATTTTTTTTAGAATTAAAAACACCATTTATCTGTATCTTGTTTTCAGTAGTTAAAGTAAAAAAAAAAGAAACTATTATATTCCTATCTCGTAACTCAAACGGGTTGAAGGGGAACAATCTTTGTCTCACATCCTCAAGAAAGGAGAAAAATTCTTCTTTTTTTTATTAATCGAAAATTTAAAAAAAACCACTGAATGATCACCCAGTTATTTTTCTTTAGTGGTAGACAAGCAGTAAGCATACAAGTAACCAAAGTAGAAAAATGTTTGCATTTCTTCATTTCTCAAGTATTCAAAATCATAGCTTAAGTCTTTTTCTCACCTCAATTGAGGGACATAACACATCACAATGATTACAATAGTGAGGGCCAACCCTTTTCATCATTCCTCTTCCTCCCCGATGCTGCTTTCCCTAGAATACACATGAAAGCATCAAATGTTTAGATTAATATATGGAATTTTAAACAGTGTGTGTTCCTATACCATAAATCTATTCTAATAAACAACAACTTCAATTACTGGAAAATTACAAACTGCCTACGAACAATTACTAAACTTATGAAACAAATGCTATAATGGAAATATTAAATAATTTATCAAGTACATTTTTATATAACTACACAGTAACCATTCGTTTGTTCAATATAGTAATGTCTTTATAAATCTCGTAATATCTAATGCAAAATGCTTTATTAAAGTTCTTCAATTTAACATCATCCAAAAATTTCATGGTGAAGAAAATGAATAACTTGTTTTGAAATATTTATTACAGTAAATCACTGCAAATACAAAAATTCTTAGAGGAACACCAATCTGCTAAATTTTTCTATTTTTGTTTACAGTAGCCCACAGTGATATGCTGAAGAAATTAACATAACTGAATCATCTATACGTTCTGTTAAATGGGTTACTAGACATTAGATAAAAATATCTTGCATTAAGAATAATACATCTTGTACATTCTAAGATATGAAACTTGTAAAATTATACTACACAAATTTATTGAATACAATTTTGTGATTAATCAGTTAAGGATTTGAAAGTGTGGGCTTTCTTACAACGTTGCATTAAGCTGTTTAGGCTGTGTTCAGTATATAAAGACGAGGTACTTCATATTTAAAAACTTGAGCAAGCCTAGAAATACAAGTTATTACACGTAAATGGTTCAATGAAACATATTCCATGTTTTACATTATAAATATTAGCTTTTAGGCTCAACTGCTCTTTCACTTTCTGTACCTCATATTGTCCTGTCTATGCACGAGAGTTTACTAGTAAGAAGAAAAAAAATACACAATGCTTCTTTTAACATTTGGCAGGATCTACGTTCAAAATGAGTAACAGTTGTTGAGAGCTCTTAAAAATTAAATTAGCGCATAAAAGTATCAAAACAACATACAACACACAAGACCCAAATATCAGGGCTTTAAAAAAAGTACATGCGAGACATACATGACCTAATCAAAAGTTAAGAAAATATTTTCTTCAGTTGTTACCAATGTTAAGTTTGGAAATTATGTGTCATAGCTTGTTTGTTGATTTTGAGAAGAGGTTCATTCCTTCCTAAAAAAGCCAATTTCTGGTTTATGGCACTCACACAGAAGAAAACTGACTGAACTTTAATGAACCTAAACTGTGATTTCTTAATAGCTTCAGTTCATTTTACAAAGACAAAAATTTACATGAATGGCATCTTGTACCAAGGCAATATAGTCCTATACATTTTTCATAAAAGTGGAAAACAAATTAAGACTATACTGTCTTTGTAAAAGTTGAATACAAAAACCTGAACAACATTATATTCACAATCCTATACAAAGAACTGATTTAAGTAGTCTGAAATTAACAAATAATGTCACATGGATTTGGAGTATTTGTCCCAAAATAGTAGTCATCTTTGAATATATTCTCATTACAGCCTTCCAACTAGTGATACTTTATTGCCCTTAACAACTTAACACAATTTATCAAGATGGGCAGCTGTATTGTACAGTACCTTGTAATCACCATATAATCATGGTGGTATACATATTATAACTCTGAAAATACTTGCAAGCTTTCAGTAAACTTTAAGTCTTTTGTAAACAAAAAATCAGAATTTTTAATTAAGTATTTTTACTAAAACTTTCTGTTTAATTATATGGTGTCAGTGTGTTGACTGCTCTGAGTGCAAAGTGAACTTCATTTTAAGATTAAGAATACTTTTCTTTATCTGAAAATTTAAAAATTTAATTTGCAAAATCCCCTAAATAAATATCTTTTTTTCTTCAGAAAACTATGTTTTATCTGTTATCAATTTGGCCAACCTCATAACCACCACCAAAAAACAAACAAAAAAAACTACATTACCCGATTTTTCTTTCTAAAATGACTTCAAATTCTAACATAAAACTTGATTTGTTTATCCTAAAAAAAGCTTTAAACTCATAACAGTATATATATGTGTTTATATGTAAATTTTATTGTTTTCTTGTCCTTTGAACTATGTCTAAACTAATATAGCCACCATAAAATTGTAAATTACTTGATGAACATTCAGCTCATGTTACCCTATTGAATTACATAACACACAGCCTACTCGCAAGATGCTCCCCAGCATCTCACAAATGTTTTTTATTATTTTAGTTACTTTTATAATAATAAATAAAGAATACATGTGAAAAACATGTAAGTACTTACATAGGTAGTCTTTTTGCTGTCAACGACACTTAACCCTACTTTTTCATACTAATGATACTACTGCAATAAATAACTTTTTATTTAATTAAATAATGCTCCAAAGAATATATAATAATAACATGCAAAAATCAGAATATGTCTCATAACTATTACAGTTATTCTGGTTTTCTAACTGTGTGTCAAGAGCTGTTAGAAATCTAGCAAAGCTCATTAATGTCTTTACCATGAGAATCAAGCTTGAACTGGAAGCCAAACTGACAATCATCTGTGCAGAAAGCAATGTAATATAAAACATCACTTGATAGATTAAAACTTTGGCTTTCTATTGGTTATAAATACTATAATATTAAATGTCAGAGAAAACTATTGGCAATTTGTGAAAGAGAGGATGTGACAGGTGGGCGTGGCAGGAGAGATCAATTTTTATAGTTTATGGCTCTGAAACCAACTAAGATTGAACGTCATAAAAATTATATTTTACATGAACAATAACTATATAATGATGAGTAATTTATGTTGAATTCCAAACTTCTCAGAGGGGTGTTAAATAAATTAAAGAGGAGGAAAGACACAGATGACAAACATCACAGTTCTCATAATATGGGAGATTGAGAGTTTTTCTTTAAATAAATATTTCCTTATAAAAGTAAGAACTCAAAACTTAGATAAAATTAAAATTTGGTTTATTAACTATGTTTTGATGCCAATTTTATCCATATATATTGATAATAAAGTAGTTTAATCAAATTTGTGAAATGTTGTAATATGCTCACTTTGACCTATCTGATGTGACTATTTGATTAACTATATTGAAAAGCTAAAGCCTAGTGTTGCCATTCACTCTGATTAGACTGGTATACATACATATGACAGAGAGCATCTATTTAATACTTTAAATACCATCAGTGCCTACCATACTGTATCTACTGCACAATAAAGCATTAGTGGATTTTCCTCTACTTGGTTCCTTGATTATCTTTTCTATAAAAATTTCCCTGCAACAAAATGTTTAGCTCAATCTGTTAGAAACAAATACAGGTTGTTTAACTGTTCACTATGAGCTTACCCGACGCCCTTTCCCTCCATGTTTTTGAAATTTTTGCCGCCTGTCATTACTTCCACCACCACCAGAAGTTTCAGGTTCATCTTGAAAACTCAGCATCTTTTAGAATACAAGATCCAATGTTAAATTACTTAAATTTACAAAGCTTTAGATATACTAAAGCAGTTAACTTGCTTCATCTACTGAAAGTCAGTTTGAACCATAATGTTAAGTAGCCTTTTTATAACATACTGATAACATACATTTTAAATGAAATGAGCTACATGTCCACTGAAGTATAGATATGACATCCACTTATTAATAACCCATCAGTAACACATTCTAATCTTTGTCTTTGAAGCAAAGTTGTTCATCTGACTGTCTATATGATGTTGCAACTTGTTGTAAAGAACTAGCTGAGCCAATTTCAACGGCATTTGGTAGAAAAACTTCAGTGGACCTCTCAAAGATGGAATTTACCTGAATAAGCAACAAACAAGGTTGGCAGCCATTTAAGTTTTATTGCCTTAGTGCTGGGAATGAAGGCTCAGCTAAACAGGGTCATCAGCAGCAAAACTTGTGAAGCAGATGCCAAACAAAAGTGAAATTAAGTATATGCACAGCACAGGTACCTTTGCACTGGATTAACTGCACCCTATGGATCAAAATAGTGAAAGGAGGCAGCCCACCCCACCCCACCTTTTTTTTTAAAAGCCTAGTTACCTATGCTAGTAACTTCATATTTTATTTCAGTTCAGTACTGCAGTACTACAGGGAAGAGTTGTAAGTTAGAGAATTCCAAGTTGTAAAATGTAAAAAGAGTAGACAACATGAAGATTTTACTTACTTGGTAGATAATACTTTTATGTTAGTATTCTTATAAGGGATTTTTTTAGTACTTTTAAAGTTTTGTCAAATGTGAAAGTAGAATAATATAAGAGTTTGATACTGTATGTTTATTACTGTTACATTTTAATTTCTTCCCTGGGACAAGTGAAATTCAGGAAGTACTTTGCCCCACTTCACAATTTTGTTCATACCACTGAAGTTATTAAATATCAAAGTATTTTTACAAACCGAATTAGTGTAGAATTTGCATAAACTGAATAAATTGTGTATGAATTGTTTTGTTATCTGTAAATGAAAAAACAATATTTTCTTCTCTTTATTACCAAATAACATTCATTAATAAATTTATCTTTGCAATTAATTTTTTTTTGTTACTGAAGCAATTACTTAACCTCAAACACAAATCTCACAGGATCATTAGTAGCTTATAGTCCAACATCAATGAAAACTGTACTATAGGCCATTATACTCATAAGTGTTATACATCATTACCTAACTTCTTAGATATATTTCTAAGAAATACCATATTCAACCTTCAACTGTTGATTTATAAAACTACCCCCTGAAAATATCTAAACTACCATTACATACGAATGACAAGTTGTTTCCATCATTTATAAATTAGTTCCCAATCTTAAATGATTTTTAAAAGTTAACTTTCCAAATCTAATTGTCCCCAGACAAGTTTTTTGTACCCTGAATATGGATAATATTAAACATATTACAGACAATTACTTAACTTCCAGTTAACATTAATTTAATTCTATTACCAACATGCTTGCTGACATGTTATACAAGATTATTAAAAACTGCCAATTTAAAATGGGTGGAATAGGGATCTTCAAAAAATACAGAAACAAGATAGTTAGCTTAAAGTAAAAATGCAATTGCCCAAAAAGTAAACAAACAAGCTTAAGGTTTGAGACTTAGTGTTAACATTATTTCCTTAAGCTACAAATGACTATTTTGACTCAATGCTTAGAGGTTGTCCAAAACAAAAAAAAAAATAAACATAGACCATCAAAAAGACCCAAATACAAGAATTTTGATGTTTTTATATCTTATTTATTTTTAAAAGTACAATTAAATTTTAGTTGGCAATTTTGCATCTTTATTCAACTAATTTTTGATGCCTTATTTCCCAGGAAGTTTCATTACATTAGAAAAAATAAGCCCAAACCATTCTAATATAACATGGTATCTTAAGGTAATAAACAGTCAATGATCTGTAAGACTTTTAAACAGATTATGATCTAAGCCAATCATGTTTAATGTTTTCATTCTAACCAGCTTGGCCTGCCTGCCAAGTACAATAAAGTACAGCTTGAAGTAAGACTAGACTTGCATCAGAACTCTCAGACAAACTACTATTCCGTAATACTTACACGATGCCCAAGCACTGCACACATATATTAACACACACACACACCGCTGTTATGTATTGTCATTCACTGTATTAACCTAGAGAGAGGCAAAGCTAGCCTTATTTTAGTTATTGTTATTTTGATTCTAATTCATAGATTTTCCTACTTTTCTCATGCTAGCTAGACCTTCCATATTTCATAGACTCGATTGATCACGTCTGTCTAATGTTAGCCTTAGGCCTACACACATGCAATTGAAAGGGAGGTCAGTGTTTCAACTGTGACATCTAATGATGAAAATTCTGAGTTTGATTTTGTAAATTTGATCATTTTAGTTCACACTGATGGCTTATCAGTAAGAAGTTGAGACAGCCATGTTACTTTTGTCATAAACATCTATACTAGAAACTAATCTCACTAAATATTTGTGTTATCAGCATTTGTTTTCGTTGCAAATTCCTGCCCGCTCAGTATATATGCATACAAAAATCATGCAATACAATGTGTGGTAAAGTAACTACACTGTACTGTGTTACCACACAGTCATTGATGCTCAGTTTACATGCATAAAGCAGCATAGAGGCACAACTTGTCCACAACAGAATGTTTAGTGAATAAAACACCATTATTAGCAAATCACAAAAGCAAACTTTTCCTAACATTTTCGGCTCCTTTTGGTGAATTGTACCAACATTTTTCTTGTACAAAGTACAATTTTTTTAAACAAAAAAATGGACCAAAAGATGTTTTTGTGGGGATTCAAATTTGAGTTCATATTTAGGGAATTTATTGATGATTTTAGATGAGGATCTGAGTTAACATTATTTGTGTAGTGCAGGCATGGATAAGAGTAAAGTAAACTGTGATGCTGTTTTGAGCAAGGATCTGTTCCAGGGTGCTAGTTGTCTGTCGGACAACATGGGGTTTAAGTTAGTCATCCAAGAAAGTTTTCGGTCATCTCGGAAGACCGTTAAAATTGAGCCCTGAATGTCTTATTTAGCAATTATGAACTTATTATATTGATATACCCCCCCCCCCTCCATTTCTGTCAGAGTTTGGTTCACAACACTAACACAACCCTAAACTCTGGTAGGCTGTCACTGCTGCATACTTTATATAAAATTAAATACTTTCTAAACAAATTATATAGGTACAAAATTTCTGCCTCACTTTTACCTAGAACTGCCATCACTGTCACCATTCTCTGCTTTCATGATTCTTGCCACTCCTTATAGTCAGCTTCAAAATGGCTACTCTCTCTGCAGTATCAATAAAATTCACAATCATGTAGCATTGGCTATAATATGACACTTACCATCAGCCATCACTGTGTTTGCCAATATGATGCTCAAAACTGCTATCTTTCAAACTACAGCTTAAAGATTTAGGTTGTGGGAAACAACCTAGGCATTTGTATAATGTTTTAGATGTTTGTGTAACATGGCTCAAATCAATCGTGCAGTGGTATAAAAAAACTTATTCTGTCAGCAGAGTAGTGTCTGAAAGGGCAGGAACTCTATACATAAACAAATGATATATGACATTAATACAGTTGCAACAATAAGTTAATAATTGCTATGGTACATGTGTCATGCAGCTATACATGTATGAATGTATATTAGATTATGAGACTCCATATAAACCAACTACATTAAAACAACTGCGTGTCAACAGTTATACAGCTGCTGTTATTTGCTAGGTAGCCAAATAAACTTAAAAACTACCTTACACTATATGCAATGATGCATTTAGTAATACTGCCCAGGTTTTATTATTATATGCAGAGCCATTTTTGCTGTAGGCTGATGGAACAATATTAATCTGTAATAAAGAAGAACAAATGGGTGATCTTTGTTGTGAACCACTAACATGGTTCATAATATATTTGTACCTCTGATATGTGAGGCCACTGAGGGCAACATTTCAATGCAAGGTAAGATTGAACACATTTGACTTTGTTAAAAATACCAAAGTGCAACTAATCTAAAAAGTAGAGCATAATTAAGGCTTTATTTTTGCTTATCTTTCAGATTATTAAACACACAATGCTGATTCAACTAGTTTGTCAAAACTCAAGTTCTTACTTATTTTCATCAGTTCATTTTACCCATCTTGCACTAGAAGCAATCCAAGTTTCTTCAAGTGCTAAACCATAGTAATTTTTACATTTTTATGTTACATCTAAGTCCTCACCAGCTTTTATAATATAAAACACAACCAACTGAAAGTTAAAATAACATTTTGCTAAGAAAATTACCAAAATTTGGCAATTACCACCAACTACTATTTACGTACAGAAAGAAAAATGTTTATGTCCACATCACCTAAATGTTTACTTAGAATAAAATTTTGTCACATCGATTACATAATCAGAGTAGGTGTAGGCACCTACAATGAACAAGACCTTTTATATTCACCCTAAAAAACTACCTGGAAGTCTGAGTGACAAGTTCTTAATAGTTTGTTTTTATTGATGCTAATCATTAACCAGTTTTAACTTTGATGACCACTAATAGCATAAATTTCAGAAAATATGCGATATGTCAGCTTTAATAGTTTGTGCTTTAACAGTCTGATTGCACATAAATCCACAAGTACTGCATCCAAACACTTGATCAGTATGTCTTCTTGTGAAATAAGACAAATGCCTGTTTCATTCTCCAGCTGCTTGAGGGATGCAACAGTCAAATGTATATGTCATGGAAGCAATTTGTATTGTTTTTCCAGAAAGTGATCCTTCTCGATTATGTTGTGTATTTTGCCATTGACTTTTATGTTCTTGAATTTTAATATGTTACAAGACACCACACTTTGCTTACCACAGATGGTGTATGATTGTTTCAGGTCTCTTTCTGGATGATCCATGTTCCCCAGGATAATCCATGCTCGTTTGTTTTCCAATGCCAT